GATCAAGACCCTTGGATCAAATTTGAAGCGGCCTCTATTCTACCTTTTGACCTCACATGTCTCTTGTGGTCCAAATCTACCTCATATAGGGACCCGTCTCAACTGAACTCCATTGTAGCACAATCCTTCAGACTTTGGTCTACCTGTAAAAATTAATATAATTTAATCTCTCAGTCCCCACCAGCCACAAGGCAAACAAGGCACTTGCGTAGGGCGGCATTTTTCAGGAGGACAGCACCTCCTCCCAGAAGAAAGGATTAAAGAAGGGACACGTGCACCATGGGTACCAGGTGGGATCCGAGAGAGGCTGCGGGCTACTTGATGGTGTATGCAGAGCCTGACTCATGTTCCCGGGCATGTCCGGAGCTGTGAAGATGAGTGTCTTTCTCTCTATCACCGGGGGGGGGGGTTAGTGGAAGGCTCTCCCAGGTGGGGGGCAGGGGTGTGGTTGGCAAATGTAAGGCTCTCCCCGTGGGAGGGGGAAGGGGGGGTGGTATTGGCTAGTGTCTGTGGGGGCAGACAATTTTTGTGTTGCCTAGGGCAGCACAAAACCTAAATACACCACTGCCACCAGCTGCATCATATCTGGGTGATCCTACTTTTATTGTCACATTTCCCAACCCTGATAGATGTCAGTGGTGGATTTCTAATTCCCTTACCACTCTCGGGACACTTTGTTCAAACTTTGATTGTATCCCCTTTTCACAATTACAACAGCAATATCAAGCCCAGGGACAAAAATATTTCAGATATATACAGGTCATACACTTTTTTACATCCACCTTCCCGGCTGCTTGTTCCTCTGTCCTCTGCTCCACTGAATATGAACGTATATGTATTAAAACCCCTAGAGGTAAAGGATTAATCTACCACCTCCAATAAACCTCCCATTTCATAAAATGGGAAGAGGAAAGCAACCAACAATTTTCAGGAGGAGTGGAATATCATGCTAGATAATCTATGCAAATGCACTATCTCTATCTCTATCAGAGAAACTGCACTAAAATGTATCATTGGCTGGTATTATACCCCTCTCTGCCTCCATTCTATGTTCCCTTCAGTACCTAACACTTGCTTCAGGGGCTGTCCTGCACTCTGTTTAGTAATCAACATCTTCTGGGACTGCAATAAGGTCGCTTCACTTTGGCAATGGATTTCTGATATCTCCTCCAAGATTGTTTGTTGTTTGCTCCTATTATAGAAATCCCTTCCTATATACAAAGGCTTATCCACACCTTTTGTGTAGACTGTTTATGGGTGACAGCTGCCAACTGGAGATCTCCCGGAGTTCCATTTTCTCAAATTCTGGCTAGAATTGATTCCATCATGACAATGGAACGTATCACACTTATATTACACAATCCCAATATTTGATGCTAAATGGGACCCTTGGACTACTATCCTTAACCAATTTTTGTAACATTAGTATTATCTTCCTTAATTTCTGTACTCCATAGTATACAGAGTAAATATGTTTGGTCTCGCTGATTTGCAGCTCTATATGTCTTAATTTCTGTTGCATTATATGGCTTCAGATTCCTTGTTAGATTTTGATTTCTTTAGTTTTCCAACTTATGTTTTTCGGCCATGTACTTGATTTTACATGCTTTGTATACATCGCTAGCCTCTTTATTGTATTTTTTCTAAATAAACAGTTTGTAAACAGGATGAAAGGAATCACCACACCACCAGACTGCAGTAAACTTCTCCCTTTAGCATCTTTTGGCATCAGGATACTGATCTTACCCATTTCATGCTTAAAAGCGCTTGATTGAAAATGAGCTATTGCTTGTAGGTTTGAATCACATAAAATCCATATCCACCATCTTTTTATCTTTTTAACAGGAAGGGATAGCAAATAGAACAGTCCTCACATCCACCTGTAAGAAATCAGACACCATGAAGTTTTATAGAAGTACACTACATACATACTCTGCAACAGGGACAATTTCACTTGCTACAGTTCCATACTGAGGGACAGTGCCGCTCATTGTCAAGCATTCAGGTGATGTTTGAACCCCCTCTCCCCTTAGGGAAAACTATGCAACTGTGACATTTTTTGTAGCACAACTGGGGCAAGGTGGTCTCTGTGCCTGCCTCCACAGGGTTTGAAAATCTCTGTCTGTCCTCATAGCCAACTCAGCACTGCCACTTGCAGTCCTACTGCATCCTGACACACACAGTGAACTCACCACTTCTAAAGTATGTAGAACAGTGGGAACTAAACTTACACACTTCATTCATGGATCAACAGAGGGTTAGAATAATACAAATGACTCACAAGACCTCTCTAGCATGTAAAAATCAAACAGCAGGTTATAAAATACACTCACAATGGTATAAGGTACCTACGACTTTGCATAAGATATTCCCACAAAGCTCCCCAATTTGATAGCATTGCCAAAAAAAGGCAGGCTCTTTATTATACATTTTTTTAATCAGGTATGTTCATGTGCAGCTATAAGAGAGTTCTGGGCACAGGTCAGACCTTTGAGATTTAAATTAACAGACATGCTGAAGAATGCAGCAGCCTTCCTCCTCCATTTAACCCCAATGTCCTTAAAACGCTATAAACATTCTTTGCCAATACTGGTCAGTTTATGGTTTTCTAAAATTAACAAAATCAAAATTGGTGGAGGAAATCATGGCATCTGTGAATCATAAGGAAGACAGATCCCACAAAACGTGGTTCTTCTGGAACAAATTTACATGTTCTCCTAAGTACTGTGATGTAGTGCGATCTCAATCACAAAATCTTTGAAATGTCTGCTCATTGCTGAATGGTCTTCTAAGTGAGTTCAGGGACACCCTGATGGATGTCTCTTGATGCATTCAACACAGGTCGCACACATACCTCCTTTCCCAAACCCCCTACCCCTTTTCTCTTCTTCTATCATGGCTTCCTCACTTTTCTCCTCATTCTACCCTCCATCTCTGAGCCAAGACATTTGGCTTTTCTGGGTTCACCATGAATACCTGAATGTCCTTGAAGGCATGCCTTCTTCTAACATGGCTTCCTCACTTATCTCCTCATTCTACCCTCCATCTCTGAGCCAAGACATTTGGCTTTTCTGGGTTCACCATGAATGCCTGAATGTCCTTGAAGGCATGCCTTCTTCTAACATGGAAACTCAACACATGAGCGCAGAGAGGCAACTCCAGGTGGAAACATATGAACAGTTAATCATGAGGTCACCACTGCTGCCTTGTTAATCATTTGCATGATGGAGAACTGAAAAGAATAGGCTCTGTGGAAAATGCTCTCAGTCAATCACCTTAATGAAGGTGCATCTTTATTGGGTGAAACAGAGTAGCAAATATAATAAAATTTGACCAGCCTGAAGTGAACAGTGTGACTCCAACGGACGACTCGTCCACTCTGAAGGGAGCTCCCTCACTTTTTTCCTCATTCTACCCTCCATCTCTGAGCCAAGACATTTGGCCTTTCTGGGTTCACCATGAATGTCTGAATGTCCTTGAAGTCATGCCTATTTTCCTATGTCTTTCTTTTCTTTATCTTCTTTAGTTGAATATGGTCCTACAGAGAATATCATCTTTCCACTGTATCTATTGTATTTTAATGGAGATAAGTCACATTTGCTCATTCACAAGTCTCTGTAAACATAGTCATGGGATGATCTAATGTGGTCACCTTTGATCAGGTTTAAATGGCACACTGTCCTAGTTTTCTGTTTCTGACTGGTCTAAGTGAGTTGTATCCTGTCTATACAATTTCTCTGTTATTCTAAACAACTGTCTATGCCTGAATGACCTAAATCCGAAAATAAAGAAGAAAAAAAAAAGGTGTCAGTCCCTGTCATACTGCCCTGACTGCTGGACTTTAGCAAGAGTTAGTAAAGTAGTTTAACACTGATTCTAATTTTAAAATAAAGGATATAAGACACCTTAAAAGGATAAAACATCACCAGCAGCACAAAGACTGAAGATTTGCCTTTTAAGGAATATATTGTTGCAGTTATCCTATGTTCTAAAGATAGGCTATTTAATTCTCTGTAATTAAAAGATGAAATTACAGTGTTTCAGGTACTACTATTTCTGTGTTACTCATCTAATCTCTACAGCTAAATCATAGGAATTAAGAGCACTGCATCACAAGCTGGAGAGGAAAAATAATGTTGCACAATACTCTCCAACTACAATGTGTTTCTGAGAGATATTTTCAAAAGAGAGAAGTGCATTCGAGATAAACAAAATCCTTTATTGCACAAGGTTCTTGAAGTTTGCAGGCAATCTATAACTGAAGTCTGTGACATAACTAGGCCGAACACAGTCCCAAATGGCCAGTCAAACAGGAAGTTACCATTTCCCATTTTTTAACATCTCACTAACCACCAACTACAGGACTAGAACAGGTTATAGTCACAGGGGCCATGTTAAGCAAGCAATAACAAATAGTGACAAATGGACTCCTCCTGTTTACTAAACATGTCAATATTCTCTTAGATTGTAAGCTCCAAGGAGCAGGGCCCTCCTAACCCTCTTGTATTGAACTGTATTGTTGCTGTATTGTCTCCCGTTATATTGTAAAGCGCTGAGCAAACTGTTGGCACTATATAAATCCTGTATAATAATACTCTTAGATTGTAAGCTCCCAGGAGCAGGGCCCTCCTAAACCCTCTTGTATTGAACTGTATTGTTGCTGTATTGTCTCCCGTTATATTGTAAAGCGCTGAGCAAACTGTTGGCACTATATAAATCCTGTATAATAATACTTTTAGATTGTAAGCTCCCAGGATCAGGCCCTCCTAACCCTCTTGTATTGAACTGTATTATTGCTGTATTGTCTCTCGTTATATTGTAAAGTGCTGAGCAAATTGTTGGCGCTATATAAATCCTGTATAATAATTAGAGATGAGCGAATTATTCAAAAATTCGATTCGGCTGATTCGCCGAATTCGCGGAATAAATTTGATTTGAGGCGAATATATTCGCTGCGAATTTAACTTATAAAAAGGGTGTTTCTAGGCTTCAGAGAGCCTTTATATTAGTGCAGAACACTGTACCTTTAATTTAAATGCCCTTGGAGTCTGCTGGGGAAGAGAACTAATACTGTCAGTCAGTATGACATGCAGATGAGTGCCGTCGATCTTAGAATCACCGCACACTTCACTCATTTGGGCAGTCACGGGGCCAAAACCAGAGTGTGGAGCCACAGTGTGGCGGTGGAGGCAGCAGCAATGGGAGGCCATACAGCACCCTATGACAAAATGGAACCCACCAGCAGTGTGAGGAGACCTGAAAGTGGCACATGGCAGAGTGTGGCGATGGAGACAGCAGCAATGGGAGGCCGTACAGGGACCCATGACACACTCTGGACCTGGCAGCAGCATGAGGAGGTGGTACAGGGGCCCATGACAGATTACGGGCCTGGCAGCAGCAGTGGGCGGGCGGTGGATGCAGCAGTATTCGGAAGCCACACACAGGCCTCGGTTAAAAAGCGGAAGCCGTCAGCAGCGTGAGCAGACGACAGAGGCACATGGCGCAGGGTGGCGGTGGAGGCAGCAGTATTCGGAAGCCATACACAGGCCTAGGTTAAAAAGCGGAAGCCGTCAGCAGCGTGAGCAGACGACAGAGACACATGGCGCAGGGTGGCGGTGGATGCAGCAGTATTCGGAAGCCATACACAGGCCTAGGTTAAAAAGCGGAAGCCGTCAGCAGCGTGAGCAGACGACAGAGACACATGGCGCAGGGTGGCGGGTGGAGGCAGCAGTATTCGGAAGCCAAACACAGGCCTCGGTTAAAAAGCGGAAGCCGTCAGCAGCGTGAGCAGACAACAGAGGCACATGGCGCAGGGTGGCGGTGGAGGCAGCAGCAATGGAAGGCCATACAGCACCCTATCACAAAATGGAACCCACCAACAGTGTAAGGAGACCTGAAAGTGGCACATGGCGCAGGGTGGCGGTGGAGGCAGCAGTATTCGGAAGACATACACAGGACTAGGTTAAAAAGCGGAAGCCGTCAGCAGCGTGAGCAGACGAAAGAGGCACATGGCGCAGGGTGGCGGTGGATGCAGCAGTATTCGGAAGCCAAACACAGGCCTCGGTTAAAAAGCGGAAGCCGTCACCAGCGTGAGCAGACGACAGGCACATGGTGCAGGGTGGCGGTGGAGGCAGCAGCAATGGGAGGCCATACAGCACCCTATGACAAAATGGAACCCACCAGCAGTGTGAGGAGACCTGAAAGTGGCACATGGCAGAGTGTGGCGATGGAGACAGCAGCAATGGGAGGCCGTACAGGGACCCATGACACACTCTGGACCTGGCAGCAGCATGAGGAGGTGTACAGGGGCCCATGACAGATTACGGGCCTGGCAGCAGCAGTGGCGCGGGCGGTGGATGCAGCAGTATTCGGAAGCCACACACAGGCCTCGGTTAAAAAGCGGAAGCCGTCAGCAGCGTGAGCAGACGACAGAGGCACATGGCGCAGGGTGGCGGTGGAGGCAGCAGCAATGGAAGGCCATACAGCACCCTATCACAAAATGGAACCCACCAACAGTGTAAGGAGACCTGAAAGTGGCACATGGCGCAGGGTGGCGGTGGAGGCAGCAGTATTCGGAAGCCAAACACAGGCCTCGGTTAAAAAGCGGAAGCCGTCACCAGCGTGAGCAGACGACAGGCACATGGCGCAGGGTGGCGGTGGAGGCAGCAGCAATGGGAGGCCATACAGCACCCTATGACAAAATGGAACCCACCAACAGTGTAAGGAGACCTGAAAGTGGCACATGGCAGAGTCTGGCGATGAAGTCAGCAGCAATGGGAGGCCGTACAGGGACCCATGACACACTCTGGACCTGGCAGCAGCAAGAGGAGGCGGTACAGGGGCCCATGGGCAGAGTGGCGAAGCGTAAGCAGCTTAAAATTGAAGGCCATACAGAGGCCTATGTTAAAAATAATAGACATGTTTGGGGCATAGTGATTCATGGCGGGATTTAGTCAGTTGTGTCAGGAACTGGTGGTTTGAAATCCAGACTAATCCACGCCTGATTCATTTTCACAAACGTGAGTCTCTCCACACTTTGGGTGGACAGTCGTGTCCTCCGCGGAGTTACAATACCTCCTGCCGCACTAAACACGCGCTCCGATGCCACGCTACTGGCCGGGCATGACAGCCTTTCAAGGGCAAATTCAGCTAGTTGGGGCCAAAGGTCAAGTTTCGTTGCCCAGTAGTCAAGGGGATTGTCTACCTCGGTTGGCAGGGTGCTGTCCAAGTAGGCCCGAGCCTGTTGTTTGAGGTCCTGCTCCAGGTCCACCTGATGCTGCTGCTGTGCGGCTGGTTAGTAGTTTCCTCACTGCGCTGGTGAAGAAAGCTACTCATCATCGACTGCAGACTGAGGCAGCCGCTGCTGGTGGAGCTGCCACTGCTCCTACCACCCCACCCCTCCCCTGCTGCCATGGCAGCGGAACGCGAGCGCACAGGGCCCCACAGTGTCTGAGGATGGACGTTGGCGCAGAAAGGCAGAGACCAACTGACTACATAGGTGGTTTTTTTATAGTACTTTATTTTGGCCTCCCTCTCAGCAGGTGTGAAAAAGGCCACCATTTTTGAACGGTAGCGAGGGTCCAACAAGGTGGACAGCCAAAAGTCATCCCTCTGTCTGATGGTTATTATTCGGTCTGTCGCTACGCAAGCAACCGAGCATGCTATGGGGCCATTTGTGCCAAGGAATGCGAGGGACTCCCTGCCTCCATCTCACAGCATACTGCCACGGGTGCGTCTGGGTCCTCTGTCTCTCCTCCTCCTCCTCCTCTACCAGATGCTCCTGCTCCTCCACTCCTGTCCGCTGAGTGGAAAAACCACCCATTTCACTCAATAATTCCTGAGCACCAATGTCCTCCTCTACCTCCTCCTCTTCTTCCTGTCCTGCCCCCACACAGGGGTCATGTGGCGTTGAGATCTGTGCGCCACGTCTACCGCATCCTGACCAGCCATTGTTAACAGCATTTGTTCCAGGACGTGCAACAGAGGAATGACGTCGTTCATCCCCATAGTCCTGCCCGACTCACGAATAGCGTGGCCTCCTCAAAGGGCCTGAGCAAGCGGCAGGTGTCACGCATGAGCTGCCAATGGCTGACATCTAAGTTACACAGGGGAGTACCTTTATCCGCTTGTAACATCAGGAAATCGGTGATGGCCTTTCGCTGTTCGTAAAGGCGGTCTAACATATGTAGGGTTGAATTCCACCTTGTTGCAACGTCGCAGATCAGGCGATGCTGTGGAATTCCGTTCTGCCGCTGCAGCTCAAGGAGGGTGTGCTTTGCGGTGTAGGAATGGCTGAAATGCATGCAAAGTTTACGTGACATTTTAAGGATGTCTTGCAGTGGGATGGTGAATTTTAGGAACCGCTTGACAACCAGATTGAACACGTGAGCCATGCATGGCGCATGGCACAACCTTCCTTGACGCAGAGCAGACACCATGTTCTTTCCGTTGTCGGTCAACATGGTTCCGATTTTCAGTTTGCGCGGAGACAGCCATCTGTCGATTTCTCTGTTCATTACACTCAGAAGTTCCTCCCCTGTGTGACTACGTTCGCCAAGCATACCAGGTGCAGCACAGCGTGACACCGTTGCGCCCTGCACATGTGATATGCCGGTCGGGTAATGGGACTTGGCACGGGGGTGGCGGCTGAGGACACGGCGGAGAAAGAGGTGGTAGAGGCGGACATCTTTGCTGGACCAAGGACGTGCAAACGTGGAGGCAAAAGCGGCGTGACCTGTCCAAGTTGCTGGTGCGGCTGTGCCGGCACCACGTTCACCCAGTGGGCCCGTAAATGACATGTACTGTCCCTGACCATAGTTACAGCTCCACACGTCGGCGCTGCCGTTGCACTTTGGCAGAGACCGACATGCTCAAAGACTGGCCCACCATCTCTTCTACATGTGAATGCAGGGCTGGCACTGCCTTTTTGGCGAAGAAATGCCGGCTTGGCACTCTCCACCGCGGCTCGGCACAAGCCATCATTTCTCGGAAAGGTGCTGAGTCTACCACTTGGAAAGGGAGGGACTGCAGCACCAGCAACTTGGACAGGAGGACGTTCAGCTTCTGCACCGTCGGGTGCGTGCTCGCAAACTGTTGTCTCTTGGAAACGGATTCCAAGAAAGACTGCTGACGGAATCCGTGAAGAGGAGTAGCAGGAGCATCTGAACGAGCGGAAGATGCCAACGAGCGACAACTCCCCTCAGCAGAGGTGTTGGAGCCTTGACTGGCTGATAGAGGGCGATTGACGTCGGGTGACGGAGCAAGTAACGGAGCGGGTGATGGAGCGGGGGCTGGGGCAGGCAGAACCGCCGTATCTTTATCACGGTTTTCCCAGGCCACCGAATGGCGATGCTGCATATGCTGACGCAACGCTGTAGTCCCAACATGGGCCCCCTGGCCACGCTTGACTTTCTGGCCACATAGTCGACATAACCCGGCTACGTTTACTTCCTCGGCGGCTTGACGAAAAATTGCCACACCGCCGAGTAGGAAAACTTTGCCCCCGCTACTCCTTCACCCTGGCTGACTGCTACTTCCTCCGTGCACACCGGCACCACTACTGGCCGTGGTGGTAGGCTGCAGTGGAGCTGGTGCTCTACTCCGTGGCCGTTTGCCTCCACTGGACTGACACTGCTGCGACCCTGCTGCCTCCTGGGCAATCCACCGACTGTTTTTGCTCGCTGGCAAGCTGGCACCCTCTTCTCCTGATGATGCGGAAGCAATAGCCTGATGACGACGAGGCTGCCAAGTGCGATCAGCCTCATCATCATCAATTAGGGTCTCCGCATCACTACTAGCCCCCTCGGCTGCGTGTGGGTCAGGAGACAGACCTGTCTCTAGACCGGCTACCAAGCCCACTCTCCTCGCCAGTACTTCTTCGCCTGGCTGCTGAAGAGGCGGATGTCTCCCCCCGTTCCTGACCGCCCTCTGTTTAGCTCTTCCTCACTGTACAGTGGGGCTGAGCCCACAGCATGCGATACTTTCGCTTGGTGAGGGAACACCAAAGGACAGGGGCAGGTAGAGGACACGTGATTTCAGTGGGGGCTTGCTCCCGGGCCATGCCAACTAACGGTTGTGTCTGACGTACCCACCGACCGTTGGCTGTAGGTGTCAGAGGTGACCTGGGAAAGAGGAAGACGACCGAGTCAACCAATCGATGGACGGCAGGGTTGTCGGTGGAGACACGACCGCTGGATGACACCCGGGAGCACTGGCCTCTGGCTGCGACTAGTGCTGCCTCGACCCCTTCCTCTGCTGCCACGTCTGCTCGCTCCTGAAACATTGCCTCCTCTGCCACTCCTCTGTGTGTTGTCCGACATCCTTCTTTAATTCAATAGGTGGTTGTGAAGCAGAAAGTAACGATTCTGTGTCCCTGAGTAACAATTCTGTGTCCCCGAGTAACGATTCTGTGTCCCTGAGTAACAATTCTGTGTCCCCCGAGTAACGATTCTTTGTCCCTGAGTAACGATTCTGTGTCCCCGAGTAACGATTCTGTGTCCCTGAGTAACGAATTCTGTGTCCACTGAGTAACAATTCTGTGTCCCCGAGTAACAATTCTGTGTCCCTGAATAACGATTCTGTGTCCCTGAGTAACGATTCTGTGTCCCCGAGTAACGATTCTGTGTCCCTCAGTAACGATTCTGTGTCCCTGAGTAACGATTCTGTGTCCCCTGAGTAACAATTCTGTGTCCCCGAGTAACAATTCTGTGTCCCTGAGTAACAATTCTGTTCCCTGAGTAAACAATTCTGTGTCTGTCCCTGAGTAACGATTCTGTGTCCCTGAGTAACGATTCTGTGTCCCTGAGTAACGATTCTGTGTCCCTGAGTAAGCTGAGTAACAATTCTGTGTCTGTGTCCCTCAGTAACGATTCTGTGTCCCTCAGTAACGATTCTGTGTCCCCGAGTAACAATTCTGTGTCCCTGAGTAACAATTCTGTGTCCTCAGTAACGATTCTGTGTCCCTCAGTAACAATTCTGTGTCCCTCAGTAACAATTCTGTGTCCCTGAGTAACAATTCTGTGTCCCCTGAGTAACAATTCTGTGTCCCTGAGTAACGATTCTGTGTCCCTGAGTAACGATTCTGTGTCCCTCAGTAACGATTCTGTGTCCCTGAGTAACAATTCTGTGTCCTGAGTAACGATTCTGTGTCCCTGAGTAACGATTCTGTGTCCCTCAGTAACGATTCTGTGTCCCTCAGTAACAATTCTGTGTCCCTGAGTAACAATTCTGTGTCCCTCAGTAACGATTCTGTGTCCTGAGTAACGATTCTGTGTCCCTCAGTAACGATTCTGTGTCCCCTGAGTAACAATTCTGTGTCCCTGAGTAACAATTCTGTGTCCCTGAGTAACAATTCTGTGTCCCTGAGTAACAATTCTGTGTCCCTGAGTAACGATTCTGTGTCCCTGAGTAACGATTCTGTGTCCCTCAGTAACGATTCTGTGTCCCTGAGTAACAATTTCTGTGACGATTCTGTGTCCCTGAGTAACAATTTCTGTGTCCCTGAGTAACGATTCTGTGTCCCTGAGTAACAATTCTGTGTCTGTCCCTGAGTATCGATTCTGTGTCCCTGAGTAACGATTCTGTGTCCCTGAGTAACGATTCTGTGTCCCTGAGTAACAATTCTGTGTCCCTGAGTAACAATTCTGTGTCCCTCAGTAATGATTCTGTGTCCCTCAGTAAACGATTCTGTGTCCCTGAGTAACAATTCTGTGTTCCCTGAGTAACGATTCTGTGTCCCTGATGTAACGATTCTGTGTGTCCCTCAGTAACAATTCTGTGTCCCTGAGTAAACGATTCTGTGTCCCTGAGTAACAATTCTGTGTCCCTGAGTAACGATTCTGTGTCCCT